TTTTTTTTTTTTCCTTTTTATTTCTTTTTCTGTCCTGACAATGTCTGAATTGGTGAAACGTTGGCAAGTTAAGTATTGAGCTGTATGTTCGAAAATCATGGCATTATTTTTTTGATTTTCCATTCATAACATAAAAAAAAATGTCCAAAATTTAGACTTTTATTCAAATTTCTTATGGGATCCAGATGAATTTAACATGAACAATATATATAATGAAGCTCTCTCACTCTCTCTCTCTCTCTCTCTCTCTCTCTATATATATATATATATATATATATATATATATATATATATATATATATATATATATATATATATATATATATATATATAGCAGATTCTCAAGAAATTTGAAAGCACACTTTTTTATTTACATGAAAATTCGTCATCTGTTTCTCCCTTCAAAAATATTTAATGAGATTCTGGATTGTTTATAGTGTTTAATATCTACAAACTTTACAAGGATACAATTTAATATCCTGCCCTTCGCAAGGATTTGAACTCTTGCCTTCTATCCCCGGCATAACAAGCTACGTCTCTATAAAACACTAATCCGCCCAGTCCTGCTCTATGACGACTAAATTGAGCAAGACCTGCTAATATTTGAGAGAAACATTCTTCGAAGAATATTTGGGGGAGGACAGATCGATGGAAATTGAAGAAGACGGACAAAAGCCAAAATTTGCTCAACTTTTAATGATCAGGATGTCTTTCTGAGGATGAAGTTTGGAAGATTGAGATGAGCTGGCCATGTGGCAAGAAAAGAGAATGAATCAATCAATATGATGATCCTGACAGAGCCTCTCTATGGTACAAGAAGAAGAGGGAGACCATAACTCAGATGGTCAGACGGTATGGAAAGAGATTCATGGAATTTTCTGGGAATCAGGAGCTGGATGATGACCGCACAGAACAAAGATGACGTGGAGGAAGATGGTGGATTAGGCCAAGACTCGTCACCGAGTTGTAGCTACGTGATAATAATAATAATATCTACAATACATGCATTTCTTTTCGAATATAAACAATAGTGGTAACTTAAACCCGATTCCACCTAAGGCCGAACATCGTAAACAAATCTGAATCAGAGATATAAGACAAAAACATTTGAGTTGTTTTTCTTTTATTTTGTATATTAATAGGCATTGATAACTTATAGACGATTCCATTGTACGTTAAGTTGTGCTTATTTTCCTATCTCATTATAATTATAATTATATCACAATATAATATTAATATTATTATTTGTATTATAATAATCAATATATTGTATTCAAGGGGAAATGTCTAGATCTAAAAATAATTGCGGTCACCAAGGTAAAATCAAACCACCATCTCAAGATGAATACTATTTCGCGTACAAAATTTTAGTCTAAAATCTTCTTTTTTTTTTTAATTAGGAGAGTATGAGATAACAGGAGCTCAAAACATATATAATTAACTGAATAGTTGTATAAATTGTAAAACAATCGTCTAGTAAGTTGAGCTGCTGTTATCTCCTACTCTCCTAACAGTAAAATAAAATAAAATATGAATGTCACTTAAAACTTTTTTACATAATGAAGAGGTAAAAGAACAAAACGTAAACGTTATTGATACGCGTTGGAAGAGCATCAATTCAGCTTGCCAATGGTTGTATTAACTTTTCATTGAAGAAAATTCAAGGGAATCATAAAAGCTGAAAAATTTTACTTCAATTTTATGTTAAGCTTCAGGTCTGATTATATAATAGAATAGAAAATTGAACTTTGTTCTGGGACTGAGTCCCCTTAGAATAAAATTGATGAATAAATACGTATCTGGCCAAAAACTAATTTTTAAAAATTCTAACATTAGATACATTAATATAAAAAATAAACAACAACAAAAACAAATGAACATAAAATATTCTCAGAATTACTTATTATTGTTACGCAAGAAAAAAAATGAAATAACATATTTATATATAAATAACTAGACAATTTGTAATTATAGACAATACATTTGCAAATAAATATCATTTTATAGCTGTAACTAATGTTATTAGCAGAATTTAGGTGAAAGAAACAGAAACAAACATCTTTAATTAGCCTTGCCGCTGGATAAAAATATATAACATTTTTTTTTAAATTTATTTATTTTTTTATATATACATTACATCATGTCAAAATGATAAATTCCATTTTTGTGGTTGCATTAACCTTATACATGACATATTAGTGGTATGAATGTTGTTTAGTAGATTTAAATCCATTTTATACAGTAGGAAAAACCTCATAAAAAACCTACATAAATAAATAAAAACCTATATAAATAAAAACTAGATTATAATCCTTAAAATTACAAGAAAAACAAAATATAATTTATATACATAAGAAAATTATATATATAATTACACATACCTATATACACACATACATGCACACATATATATATATATATACACATATGTATATATATATATATATATATATATATATATATATATATATACTTACACACCCACACATATATTACACATACATACATACATATATATACATACACACACATTCTATAAATATAAATATACACACACGTCCTATAAATATAATTTATTAATTGGGGTGATAGAGTTTATCAGCTTGTCATATATAATGTTGTTTATAGATTGTCATATAACATTAAAAATGGGTTATTCTAAATCGTAAAAAAAAAAAAATAAAGAATTATAATTAGATAACATTCACTAATTGAAAACCAATGCTTGTATAGTCTCAAATATGGAAAAAGTACTCTTTGTGTTGTTAAAGTTAATTTGGTTAGTAACTATACATCGCTATGAGAAGCAACTGTAGGTTTTTTACCGAAATAAACTTTTTCAGGCTGTTTTACAAGTCAACAGATTGAGATAAAATCACGTGCATTCAGATTAATGTCAGAGCATAATGTATTTCAAGGGACTCCTTATACAAGTCAAATTTAAGCTTTAATAAAAAGAATAAATTTGAATAAATAAAATGAATAATTTAACGGGATACAATACGAGATGTGGAAAACTGTAAACTTCATTACTGGTTTCTGGTTTCAACGATAAGCAAGATAAGTGACGACGTTTGAGCTCTCTATTTTAACACTGAAATGGGACGTGTGGCGAGGTAGACCCCGAACCCATTAATTTTTATGCCCTTTCTTTTTTTATAATAATAATAATAATAATAATAATGCTTTATTTATTCTGGGACGAGTCCCTTTAGAATAATACAGAGAAACAAAAATGTGGGCTAAGGAACCTCAGAGATAAATAAACAAGAGTATAGTTTGATTAAATAGTAACAAAAATAATAATAAAAAAAAAATATTTAGAGAAATTATAAGTTACTTTCTAATTTACATCAGTTAATAATAACAAAAATATTGAAAATAAACATAAAGTAAAAATAATAAAGAATGATCTAATAATTTATATACATATTTACAGCAGTAGCTATTTACAATTTTATGATGAGGACTGGATGGATAAGAAATGATCAAACAGTTGGGATTTAAAGGTAGGAAGGGTTTTGGATTGACGGATGTGGGGAGGGATGGAGTTCCATAGGGAAGAGGATCGAATAATAAATGATTTATCGAAAGCAGCGGTTCGGTGGGCCATTATATATAGATTTGAGGACCGAGAACGATAGATATAGATCTTACCTTTCCTCTAAATTAATTTCTCCTTTGACAAATAGTGTGATCCCTGGGATTTTGTGCCTTAAATTTGGAAATGGAAAAATAAGAATTTTATTTAGGGTTAGATACATCCCATCCTGCAGTATTTATGGTATTTTATGTTTCTGTGACTTCTCCTACGAATTTATGGTACTTTTCCTGATAGTTGCCGTGCAGACAAATTTTTATCAAATAATTAACCTCCGTCTGAAACTTCTGAACAAGATTTTTCTCTACGAAAATTCTCAGAATTGTAGTGTTTTCGCATTAAATACATTAATTTAACGAAGTACTAACTACTCTTGAATATACATTTGCTTTCCTGTGCAATCTTAAGACAATTTTATTACAAAATCAAGAAAAAAAGGCTACTTTGACACATTGGGTGTAGAGGTCACTCAAAACGGCCCAATATTTTCTCTCGACTTTGTGATCATTTTTAGAAAGTTATGGATAAGTGATATATAAAAGTTAAACTGACAATATTATTTTTCTGTACTGAAGTGTATCGGATATCAGTATTGGCAAATGTCGAGAGATCTCGGCTGTTTCCGTATAGCTTCCAATCCTTATTTCTCATTTAGTAACCAATAAATTTTCTTTATTCATTATATTCAACCAGTTTTTATATCAATTTCGTATAAGAGATAGGTAATTAATTAAAATAAAAAATTAAGGTACTTTAGGGGAACATACATTGAAAATTATGCATTTAAATCCTTTTAGTGAACATCAATGGGGATAAAAACTACATTATATTAATTACAGCTTAATTTTACTCTGATATAATATAAACATATATAATGAGAAATTCGCAAAAATGTGTAAACTCGATAATACATAGTGGTACTTCCGGTTATCCGATTTTGAAAAATATAGTTATATATCAGGCATGTGCGAATCTTAAATACGAAATTTCAGTTGCGTAAGACTTCGTTTTTGAGCTAGACTGTAAACATACATACACACACTGACCATTTTCAGGGCCGTGGTTATTTGTACTCGGAGGACCTCAAAATATGTATTCCCGTTAAAAACTCGAATCGAAAATTAGATTACTGTATATAGATAAGTGAAAGTAAAAACTACTAAGGTAGGTAGGTAGGTAACTGAAAGCTGAGTGATGCCCGCACCGCACCAGATTTTGTTTTCTTATTATTCTTTTGAATGATGGCTATCGACAGCACTAGGAAGTTGCTAATGCGCTGCCATCTATATTGCTATGATGCCAGCCAATAGGCCGTACGTTACAAAAATACCTCGAACTGGGCCGATGGCCTAGAGCCAAGCTATATAGCTGTCAGCTGACCGTTCGCTCTCTGTTGCAGGGGATGGGCAAGACAGGATACTCGATCACGCTCAAGAGGGAACACTCGGGGCAGCCCTGGGGGCTCAGGATCAGCGGGGGCTGTGACCTCGGAAAGCCCATCGTCGTCACCAGGGTAAGTCGCAAGATAAGTACCTCAGCTAAGAACTAGGGTAAGTCATAAGATAAGTACCTAAGCTAAGAACTAGGGTAAGTCGCAAGATAAGTACCTAAGCTAAGAACTAGGGTAAGTCGTAAGATAAGTACCTAAGCTAAGAACTAGGGTAAGTCGTAAGATAAGTAACTAAGCTAAGAACTAGGGTAAGTTGCAAGATAAGTACTTAAGCTAAGAACTAGGGTAATTCGTAAGATAAGTAGTTAAGCTAAGAACTAGGGTAAGTCGTAAGATAAGTACCTGAGCTAAGAACTAGGGTAAGTTACGTAAGCTAAGCAATAAGATAAGTCCCCTCTATGTCTCTAGAAGTAGGTTACGTTAATACTATACTAGTATGGAACAGGTACGATACGAAGAATGGGTAAGCTCCTAAACTAAGCTCCTAAAGGGCTAAGCTCATTTATAAACATCAGAAGGCTTTTCCTAAACTTATTGATGGACATACATTTATACGAACATACATAAATGTGATACCTAATTAGCTACATTAATAGTAAAAACCATATATAATATAATATGGTATACAAAATAAAATTAGTGTGTTTTATATAACTATAAACAAAACGATCTTACAATCAACAAAATAAAATATAATGCTTAGTCCTAATATGTTTAAATATAACCTTAACATAAAGAATTGATGAAACTATTTATTCTTGAACAAACAAAAGGAGATTTCGTAATTTTAAACAACTTTCTACATACCAGTATAAATCATTGAATTTATATTTGTTTTTTATGACTAATAATTGCACTATTTGACCTTTATCGTCACAATTGCCATCAATATATTCATTTAAATACTTACGTCTAAAAGCTAAATATTTAATGCAATGCAACCGAAAATGGTATAAATCTTCGGGTTCGCGTGTATTACAAATGGTACATTCAGCACTTCTTTGTAGAAAACTATTTTGAAAGCCATAAGAGGTAACCTTTAAGTTTTCCGGCTGGCACAGTCTTAATTGGCTAATATGATTTTTTATTGGCCCTTTAAGTTTTAGACAATATCACCCTTAGTCAAGTATTAGTACTAATTTTTTGTTTAAATTTTGAGTTCAATATGGATTTAACATCGAGAGAAAATTTATTAAATTTTAATTTTTCAATAGCATTTTTAAATTCCTCTTCAAATAATTCTTTATTTTTAATGTTTAATAATTCAACCGAATCTATGTCTTTCAACATATTTCTCAATTGTGAATATCAACTATACTTTGCGTTAATTAAATAGTTAAAAGAATTTTTTTTTTAATTTGTAAACAAAGTTTTGGTAATTCTTTGTTTTGGTATTTTCCATTATTCTACTTTTCGGTACCAGCGATTCATTCTTTTAAGAACGCTTATTTCTAATGATTCTAGACCCGTTTCTACACGCAGATAATGATTAGAATTTACTTTACGTACTTGTATTCATATATAATTACTGAAACATATTTGGACTTAAGCATCATAGATGAGAAAGATACTCACATACACAATCTTGATGTGTTAGCAATATAACATTACACAATGACCATCACATACCTCTGTTAACGAGCACATACGAACTCATTATAAACTATTTCATGACAAATTAATAGAACACCCTAGCATACTTATTAATGACTTGGCCACATCACACATGCGAGATTACGTCCGATGACGGACGTCCTCGCCTAACAATTTTTTATTTATTTTTTGTAATGATTTTATTGAGTATTAATAGAACTTTATTAACGACTGTATAAGACTGCCACACTGAATAATAAAAAATCCAGCTAATTCGAAAAATCCAGCCCCACACAAAAAAATGGAATGTCGCGAAATCCGGTGATTGTGGTAGCCATTTAACAACGGTTTCGACCAACCCATCGGTCTCCATAAGTTGCATTTAAATAATCAGTGACACTATTAGAAAAATGAGCTGGAGCACCGTCTTGCATAAACCAAAGCCTTTGTCTAATGCCTAGTTCATGAAGATTATTTTGCGAAAAATGCAAGTAAGATATACATACGTGGCAAAACGATGTTGTCGCTTAGAAGACCACACCAGACACTTCAGCCAAAGTATGGGTATTTCGAAAACTAATAAACTTGTTGCTTGTAAAGATTCATCAGTAACCAAAATACAGTTCAGCAAGTTAGGATCTCGTATGCATTGTCGAAGTGACCACTGGGAGAAATTTCTGCGCTTGTTATAGTCTTGTGGTAACAAATCTTGCCTACTCGATATGTGAAGTGGATACAATTGTTGTTCGCGTAAAGTTTGCCATAAACTGGTTGAGGAACCATCAAAACGACATGACAATCTTCTGGTACTAGTAGTAGGAGATAACTGAACAGCATCGAATATTACTTCTTCAACGTTTACTAGTTCGTCGAAATCTTATTCGACCGGCGCTTAATCGTATTGGTTTTAGCGTGTTATTATCCCTAAGGCGTCTTTGAGTGGCCTCAAACGTTTTAATATTTGGTATTCTTTAATTATTATATTTTTTACGATATCTTCGAACAACAGCAGCATCGTTTCTATGCACTTCGCGAAAAGTTAAAAACATGTAGGTTTGTTCTGTAAAAGTGGATAAATTTATGGTGCCTCCCATGATAATCATAAATTGAACTGTGTCACAGTATTCACTCACACTAAAACACACAGAACTAGACAAACAGATGAATAACTGCTGTCATTGCTTATCGTACATTTGTTTATCAGGTGATTAAAACCTGTTATTTAGTGTTAAACTTTGTTCAGTCAGTCTTAATGTAGTAAATAAATAATAAATCTTTAACCTTTGGTATTTATTTAATAAATGAGTTTGAGATATATCTTAATATGAACTTTTGTGTTAGTGAACACATAACTAAAAAAATCTGGAAATTATTTTCTGGCAATGCTGGGCTATTATAAAATTTTCTGAAGTGTATTTTAAACGGAGCTAAAGCTTACAGATAACAAATTATTAAGACCATTATAATTACAAAATGTCTATTTAATATATCGACGACAGGCAATAAAAATTTAGTCACTCCATCTGCTTTTATAAACCACACAAATTTCTTTATAAACTACAGAATGACCTACTCCAATTTCAACATTTTTGAGTGATGTCATTTTAGTGATATTTTTAGTTGAAAAAGTTATCTATGCAGACAGTGAGTAAGTTGATTCCAGAGGTGGTGATTGCAGTGTTGAAATAGAGAACTGAGAATAAAGGTATAAATTTAGGTACTTATTTCTTAGGAAAGACACTTTATTAAATATCTGTAGAAAAAAAATTTTTTTAGTCTCAACAATTAAAAAAATATATTCTAAATTTATCCAAATTTTAGCCTTTCTAAAAAACCATATACAATATCCCCCAAAAAGCGTATAATTTTTGAGTAATTCGGAATTTTATTAAATAAATCCTATGAGAAGTTTAACATCCCTCGTAACTTTTTTTCTAGCTTCTTTTCGTTGAAGTATGTCATATAGATAAATTTAAAAGGTATCGAGAAAATGACTTTAGCAGAAGTTTCATTGAAATCGGAACATTCGTTTAGGCGCTACAGTCTATAGCAACGCAGGTTTTTCTGCATTTTTTTTTTTTCTCCTTTATTAACTTATCAAATTCTTTCAAAAGTTATATGTAGCATTTTTTCGTAACTCTGAATAATGTGAAATGATTAACTTTTTAAAATAAACCATATTAAAGGTACTTTAGAGAAGACATATATGAACATTGGGCATTTAAGCCCTGTAAAGTGACATCAACGGGGATAAGACCTAATGATATTAAAGACCACTTAATTATACAATGATACACCGAGTTTGATCAAAATCGTTTGAGCCGTTTATGAGAAAATTGTAAAAATGTGTTTCAGCGTTCATATAAAGTGGCACTTCCGGTTAGCCGATTTTAACGAATAAGTTTCTGTCACATCCGGCTCATATACAAACCTTAAATACTTAATATCAGTTTTTTACTGCTTTTTGTTTATGAACTAGACTGTTAACACACACACGGACAGACACACAGACAAACAGACCATTTTGCGACACTTGGTTATTTAGACTCAGGGGACCTCAAAACATGTATTTCCGTTGAAAACTGAGATTCGAAAATTTTCACGATCGCAATACTTACCATTACTATATATTACATATATACGTAAGTGAAAGTAATAGTGCCGAGCAATTACGAAACACCCTGTAAACTGATTTTCATTTTGAACGAGTGGAATTAACGTAAATGGGTATTATTTAAATCGGGTCGTTGTGATTCTTACTCTTTTAACATGATCATATAACAGCATGGACATAATTCCTCAACCATTGTTTCATCAAAAAATCCGTAGTATATTATTTTGAATGAGTGATCCTTTGAGATACATAAAAATGTACTTCTTTTTTCATATTTCTGAAAGAAGAGTTACCTAAAACGTAATATGATAACGACCCGGATCTCCTAAATGCTCCATATTATGATATTAGCTGAGCCAGCGAACCGAGAACTCTCACAATTTATCCTGACATATGATTCATCGGTTAGAGAACCGCTCTACGTGTTGCCAGGGATGCACTTAGTCAGAAGAGAAATGGTTCGGTTAATGTTTAGTTAAATATACTTTTAGTGTCATCGTCCTACGGTTTCACTTTAAGTATACATGCTTTAGAATTTACTATATATAAATATATATATATATATATATATATATATATATATATATAAGATAAAGACCGGAGACTGGCGATATCAGCCTTAATACCATCTTGTAATGTAAATAAACATAGCAATTGTATATAAGGCAGATTATTGGACGAATAAAGCAGTGTTTATTCAGAAGCCGTGAGTATTGTTTCTCGTTCCTCTTTCCTTCTTTTTTTTTATTTTTAAAGCCCGGAGACGCTTAACTGGTGCCGAAACCCGGGAGAACGTCAGGAGAACACGGAAGTAAAATTTTTTTTTCTGTCTTTATTTTAATTTTTTTTTCTCTTC